ATGTGTTGTACGGCGAGCGTTTGGGTCTGCTGCTGGACTACATCGATCCAGACGCCCAGCACTTCATCGACTGCATCACCCTCATGTTTAAGACCACCTCGCCCATGCTGTACCTCCCGCCGGCCCTGCTCCGCCACACCGGGGCCAGAATCTGGAAGGACCACGTGGAGGCCTGGGACGGCATCTTTAACCAGGGTAACACCACACTCTTAATAAAACTCATGCTGGTGTTTTTGGCGGGAAAAACTTCCTCCTGAGTTTTCATGCTTCACTGTGGTTTTCCAAAGCCGACCGATGTATCCAGAGTATCTACAGACAGCTGAGGAAAAATCCAGACGCCGGTGAGAAGTACCCTGGTGTGCTGGCCAGCCTTCTAATGCTGGACAAACTGTCCATCGAGGACATAAAGGCCAGCATCACGGAGCTGATGGCCGGCGGCATGGACACGGTACGAGAAATAATCAACGCTAGAGAAACAGTCCATCCACAAAGAAAATTATCATCATTTACTCACCCGCATTGAGTTTCTTTCTTCTGCTGAAAACAAAAGATGATATTTTTTTTAAAGAATGTTGGGAACCAAACAGTTGGCGGCAGCCATTGACTTCTATAGGAAAAAATACTATGGAAGTCGATGGCTACTGCCAACATTCTTCAAAACATCTTCTTTTGTGCTCCGCAGAAGAAAGTCATGCAGGTTTGGAATGACATGCGGGTGAGTAAATGATCGCTTTAATCAAAATATTTTTGTGTGTTAGACCTCTATCACACTGCTGTGGATGCTCTATGAATCTCACCCGCATTGAGTTTCTTTCTTCTGCTGAAAACAAAAGATGATATTTTTTTAAAGAATGTTGGGAACCAAACAGTTGGCGGCAGCCATTGACTTCTATAGGAAAAAATACTATGGAAGTCAATGGCTACTGCCAACATTCTTCAAAACATCTTCTTTTGTGCTCCGCAGAAGAAACTCATGCAGGTTTGGAATGACATGCGGGTGAGTAAATGATCGCTTTAATCGAAATATTTTTGTGTTAGACCTCTATCACACTGCTGTGGATGCTCTATGAATTGGCGCGACATGCGGACCTGCAGGAGGAGATCCGGGCCAAAATCTCAGCCGCTCGTATCGCCTCTAAAGGAGACGTGGTGCAGATGCTCAAGATGGTTCCTCTGCTTAAAGGAGCCTTGAAGGAAACTCTGAGGTACACTTCCTGTTCAACTATGGGCACTGAGTTTTATTAAAACACATTTTAACATTTGTCATTTTCTTCAAAGTTAAAGTAAAAACAAAATCAAAACAAAAGCACGCACATCACTGGAAAAACTCTCCAACGGTGCTCGACAAAAAAGTTGGCACACCTAGACTCCAGAAATTCAAAAATTTAATAACAGACTATCACACAGGAGCCTACATGCTTGAAATATCACCTGTGTGATAGCCTGTTATTAAATTTTTAGTTAAAATAAAATGGTCTTGCCTTTTTATCATAAACACTTTATTGTTTACAAGTCTGGAGTCAGTAAGATTTTCTTTCTTTTAAAATAAATGAATACTTCTATTCAGCAAGAGCGCATTAAATACAAATGTAAATGCATTTATAATATTAAATTATTATTCAAATAAATGCTGTTATTTTGAATGTTCTATTCATCAAAGAATCCTGAAAACAAATGTATCACATTTTCCTGCACTGAAAAAAAAAATAAGTGTAGAAACAATTTTCACTTTTCAGAAAATTACACAGATAATTACAGAAAATGGCAAGTAACGTTGAATTAAACATGACATGTTGAAGTAGAAAGAGTGAAACATTATTGTCTTGTGAAATGTATTTCAATAATCTTTATTTACTTTGAAAAATCATTTTTACAGTTTGGTTTATAATAATATGTCAGCATATCAGCATATTCAGTGTTGGGGAAAGTTACTTTTATGCAAAGTAATGCATTACATTACTTTTGTGTTACTTTTTATCACCTGGGCGGGGCTTGCTTATTTGTTTTTAATAACAAAAAACCCAAAAGTTATATTTTTATAATTTCCCAATTTCTCTCAAACAGAAGAGATATCAGTGAACAAATGGGAAAACAAAGTAAATTGCGTTAATTATTTGAAAAAGTAACTCGGATATGTCAAATTTCAAAGTAATGCGTTACTTTACTAGTTACTTGAAAAAAGTAATCTGATTACGTAACTCGCGTTACTTGTAATGCTTTACCCTCAACACTGAGCATATTAGAATGATTTCTGAGGGATCATGTGACACTGAAAACTGAGTAATGATGCTGAAATTCAGCTTTGAGCACAGAAATAAATTACGCTTTAAAGTATATTCAAACAGAAAACAGTTATTTTAAAATGTAATAACATTTCCAAATATTACTGTTTTATGTATTCCTGATCAAAACCTTTTCAAATGTCTTTTACACATAGATTTTATTGATGTACATTTGTCATAGACCCAGACTTTCGATCTTAAACTTCAAAGATCCATCATAAAAATTAGGGATGCACCGATACTGATACTTTTATTTTTGGTACTTGCCGATACCGAGTACCGATACCAATATTTTAATTGCATTTGTAAATTTTTAAAATATTGGGTACAGAAACCAAAAGAGTATGTATAATGTTAGTTATAATGTTATTCAGACACCTTCAACATTTCTCACATTATCAGAGTTAAACGGAGTCAGAACAAATTCAGCTTGATAATGTTAGATAACTTTGATAGAAAGGTATGTAGCCTAATGGATTACAATCAACCAAAAAATTAGCTGTTAGTATGACAGTATTTACACAACTATCAATACTTAGTCGGGCAACCCTTAGCCTTAATGACAGCCTGTAGTCTCCTGGGCATGCTGTCACCCAGCTTCATGCAAACCTCAACTTCAATGTTTTTCCCTGGTAGTCCACTGTATGAAGAAATTTTGGGTATAATTTGTCACAGTTTACTTTATTTTGCTATCCGCACTTACATAAATGAGCAATAGTGTCCTGCACCCACTAGTAAAAAAATATAAAAAATTATATCTGGTCTCTGAATAATTTTTGGTTTGACTGTATATCCTTCGGTTATTTTCACACTTAATTTCCAGTGATGTCTGTGAGAAAGGTATATTCACTCGACAAGCTCGTGCATCTGCGCCGCTGCGCGCTCAATCCACTGAGCACGCTTTGCTTATCAACTCGCGCACATCAGCTATACAGTCAATACTGAATGTTTAACATTATATTCATTGCGTACATATACTTCGTAAATATCCTTAATCTCTAATAACTCCATTCTGCTGTCTGTTGTTCTGTTTGTCTGAATATGGCACTTATCACATGCTGCGTGGTAATGCTGCGTGGTATCGGGGAATTTTAAGGAGTACGAGTACAGGAGCTCAGTATCGGGCCCGATACCGATACCAGTATCGGTATCGATGCATCCCTAATAAAAATATTATGTTTTCAAAAAATACTTTTAAAGTGACAATGAAAAACCATTTCAATATTTCATGTGTTAAATTTGTCAATTTTTACACAAATTACAATGTTGTCAATTTCACCACAACCGACAATTTTGAAACTAATTAGACTTTCTCAAAAGTTAGCTAGTTTCTAATGATACAAACAGTGTCAGTGTCAGACTGGTGAGCATGCTTTGGATTTTTCTAAAAGTCTGATATGTTATTTAACTGCATGTATTTAGGATACATAAAACACTCATTTAAATTACAAACTAGTTTATTTAAACAGATTAAATAGTGCATAAAAATTATATTTTAAGAGTTTATGAGGCCAAAAGTACCCATAAACACCCAGAAATAAAATAAAAAATGTGTCTAGCAGCTGGCTTTATCGTGTCTAAAATCATTAACTCTCTTTCGAAGGTTACATCCTGTAGCAGTGAGTCTACAAAGATACATCACTGAAGACATTGTCCTTCAAAATTACCACATTCCAGCTGGGGCGAGCGTAAATTTAAAGGGGTCATAGGATGCTACATGCACTTTTACAAGTTGTTTGAACTGAAATGCTGAACGCCAGCAGATAGTGGAGCTGCAAACAGGAAATGATGTCAAAACAGAACTGGATGGAACACTGAGCTTTGAAGACGGGAAAAATTCAACTCTGACATGAAATGCCTGTGAAAAGTTTGGACTCAGTTTGTTTCTTGCGGTCTTAGATAGTTCACACAAAAATGAAAATTCTGTCATCATTTACTCACCCTCATGTTGTTTCAACCCTGTATGAATTTTTTTTTCTTCTGTGGAACACAGAAGATATTTCAAAGAATGCTAGGAAAATTTTTTAAAGTATCTTCTTTTGTGTTCTTACATTTCTATTATTCTAAAATAGTATTAATAAAAATGAGTAAAGCAGGTGAGCCCAAACTTTTGACTGGTACTAAATGTTAGGATGTCTTGCTATATCTATTTCAGAAAAGCAAATAAAAAAATAATAATTTATGTATTCTAAAGTATTTATTTATATATTAAAAGTAAAACTATTTCACTTTAGCATTACTGGCCATGAATAGGCTACTAAGGAGAGATCACACATCAGCTGCTCAAAACTGTCAGTGAGACGAACGGAGCGCGAGCGCAATGCTGTGACAGTCACAGGCGGTAAATAGTGGAGCGCATGAAGAAGAGATGCGAGGGCACGAACACTGTTCAATTCGAATTCAATTCAAAGTTTCAAGATCGATGCATTGCATCGTCAGGGTTTGTAATCGATGCATCGAGAAAACAAGTGAATCGTTACACCCTTACTATAAATGTTATAATTTTAATGTAAAAAAAAATAAAAAAATACATATCTTTTCCACTCCACATTTCCAGGATGAGCACTACAACTGCTAATGACTTTGCCTCATTAATTAAAACTGAAATTGATTTAATATGGTTTGTGTGTGTAGTTTCACACCATTATGCTTCACGGCTGCTCTCTTCTTCTCTGAATTCTCTTTATTTCTTTCCTTCAGTTTTGCATCCAATATTTTCTACATCTTCTCAATGACCTGCTCAGTGAATTAAAACAAATGCAATACATTACACATTAGATACTTGCTAGATATGTAAAGGAATAGTTCAAACAACCATTCTTTTAAAGCAACCAAGAACATGCGAAATTTTTTCATTAACCACATAAGTGAGCAAAGTAGAAGTAAATATATTTAATGAATAATAATACATTTTTATTAAATGTATTTTTGTTTTCACTGAAAGCTATCATATAGCTTCAGAGGGCATGAATTAAACCACTTGAGTTGCATAATTAGTTTCACACTATCTGTATGTTTTTTTTTTCCTTTTTAAGAGTTTGAAAGTTTTGGACCCCATTGACTTTCATTCTATGAAGAAAAGCAACTGAGACCTTCTTCAAAATATCTACTTTGTTTTAAAATACATATATCTAATGTGTGCTTTTTTTAAGTATAATGCCATATTTTTTTGGGAATGGAGTGTTGTAAACTAAATATAACAAATAAAATAAATAAATAGAAATAAAATAGAAATATTAGATGGAAAATATATAATAAATATATAAGAAATGTTTCCTTGGCAACTAACTAAACTACAAGTTAGTTAAAGTTAAAGTTACAAGTTAGAAGTTTAAGTTACAGAAATATTAAAAACTAATAAAAATGACAGAAGTACATAAAATTACTAAAACTAAAATTAAAACTTAAAATATAAAAAAACATTTTAATAGGATATAAATTATACTAAAATAACACCACTGAATTACATTGCAAGGAGAAATTATGAGAGAATTTTTTTTTTTTTTTTTTGGTGAATTATTCTTTTGTCCCAAACTCGTGAAATTGGTTGCTCTGATCGTGACGCTCAAACAAACTGAGAAGTGTATTTAGCTTGATTGTTTGGTAGTTTGATAAAAAAAATAATAATAATAAAACAGCATGTTGTACAGAACAGCCAAATACCTTTTTTCCTGTTGGCGAACTGTATCCTCCAGTGCAGATATTTTACGGACCTGATATTTCTTTAGCACAGCTTGCTGCTGTTGATGTGCTCTTTGCAGCTGAACAAACTCTTTCTCAATGTCACTCTTCTGCAATAATCAAAATAAAGAGCTAAAACCTAATGAGTTCATGCAGTGGGTTAACTCAATTGCCAGGGGTCTATTAGGACTTCTGCTTGCCTTGTGTATTTTTTAGATTTGTATCAAATGCATCAAGCAATATGCCATGCGGTCTGGAGACAAATTGAATGAGCTGATACAATCAGTGATCTTGGGAGGAAACCATTAATACAGCATTTCCTTACTGCCAGCAAACATCACAACTGTATGCCAGTCAATGGACCCCATGAGCTTCAAAGAGGAAACACACAGTCTCTGAGCACTGCTGCTGCTTTTATTAAAAACTTTAAATGATCCGAGGGAAAGTGGCCTTGACTGACCCACCCTGATGAGCTCATTTTGAAGCTGTTGGATTCTGTCCTTCTGGGCAGCTGCTTTGCTGCTTTCACTGGACAGCTTGAACTTCAGAGAGGCTGCAAAAAAAAAGTGCCATAAATTAATGAGTGCTTATTGAACCAGAAAACACACACACGCACACACACACGCACACACAAACGCACGCAAGCACGCACACATAAATTAATTCATTACTATATGGTTAGGGTTAGGATTAGGGTTTGGCTTAGGGTTACTTGCATATAATTATGCATAATTAATTGTTATTATAATAGTAAGTACATGTAACATGTGTAACAAGGACACCTTAAAATAAAGTGTTACCTTGAACACAGAACGCAGAACACCTGAGAAGAGATGATGCCAACCCCTCAGAGGACCTCAGATGATGCCAACCCTGAAACAACATACAGAACTACCACATTTTGCTATAAGTTTAATTGCATCATATAATAATTGCTGTTAATAGTGTTCATCGTCTGTTTTATTACGTCTTAAATAGATTTTTCCGTACATTTCTGCCATATGTACATTAATTGACAGTCACCACTGATAAGCTACCACTAAATATTATAGAAACTTAATTTGCTGTAAAGTTGCTTTGCAATGATTTGTATCGTGAAAAGCGCTGTACAAATAAACTTGACTTGACTTGACTTGACTTGACCTTGTTTGGTAACACTTTACAAAAAGGTTCCATTAGTTAATGTTAATATATCAACTAACATAAACAAACAATGAACAATACATTTATTACAGTATTTATTAATCTTTGTTAATGTTAGTTCATGAATATACAATTATTGTTAGTTCATGTTAATTCACTGTGCATTAACTAATGTTACCAAGCACAACTTTTGTGCTTCTTTTCAACTTCTCGTGCATTAGTAAATGTTGAAATTAACATTAACTAAATTAATAAATGCTGTAGAAGTATTGTTCATTCTTAGTTCATGTTAACTAAAGTAGTTAACTAATGTTAACTAATGAACCTTATTGTAAACCAATTGTTTAATGCACAGCTAGTCGTGCATTATCCCTTACTTAAAATCTAACTACTGAAATATAGTAATAAATATAATCATAAAATATATTAATATATAAAAGATGAATGAGGGAATCTGAGCTCAGCTAAAAGTCAGTCTTTTTTTATAAGCTTTCTGAGGATTGCAAAAACATCAACAAATGGTGTGACCATGACACTGTGGAGATATTTTTGGAGAAAACATTCCAGACATTATCTAAACCCCTGAAAGCCACGCAGTGCATTCGCCATAGAGAGGAAATTAAGGCCTGCATTTGCTTTGAAGGCCTCAAAGGTCTTTGACGTGTCCTTTAAGCGGAGCCTTGTGTTTGTGTGTGTATGAGTGTGTGAGGGACGCAAACTGTCCTTCAGCAGATAAGGCAGTAAGTGCTTATCAGATTCCCTTAGCTAAATGAGAAGTCTTATCAGTCCTCAGCATGGCTCCGTGAGGACATGACACCTGTGCAAATCACGTCACGCTCACAACTTTTAACATCTGAAATGTGAAACTCCAATAGTCACTTCCTAAAGTGAGCAAAACTTTTTTCTGATGGCCTTTAATTCTTTCTTCATGTACAAATGTATGTCATCTCTCCATAATATCAGTATGAGAAACAGTGGTGTTAGCCAAGCAAGCTAACTATTGCTAATACATACTTTAAGGTCCAGCTATAATATTTCAATTTGAATACAGTTCATATAAAGTGTTATTTGCAAGCTATATACCAATAAACATTTTGAGATCATGCACTCCAGACAAATTTCTTCTCAGGTAAGTATGCCATTCCTTATTTATCAAAAATTATTCTGCATCTTAATTAAAAACACATAATATTTTAACACATATTATCAGACAAACATATTTAACAAACCCAAAATTATATAACCTATAGGTTACGAGTAAAATAAATAACGTGTAAATCCTCGTCTCAATTCATGTGTGAAATTCCAAACAACTGAAAGAATATGTTTGTTACGGGACGAACAGTGTGAAAGGGATCTGAGTGAGTGTTATATCGTGAATGTGTGATTGGTTACAGCTGTGTGCAATCAGTGCTGTGTGCAATCAGTGCAATGGATGATGGGATATGTAGTCCGGGATGACATGCAACAGATTGTGTAGTGCGAGAGTCAATGTAATGGAAGGGTGACCTCTGGTGGTGAGTGAAAGAAGTTCATAGACCGGATTCGTGACAATGTTGTGTTGACATTAAATTTGATGAAATCTGAATATCAGAATACTCAGAAATCAGAATATTGATCAAAATGAACTCTACACTATATTAAAAATGTGACTATAACACAAGCAACAACAAAAATGTAACTAAAAAAAAAAACATTTAAAATGGTAATGTAAAAATGTTTTTCTGTCTATGCTCTCTAAACACTTTAAATGAACTTTAATTGTGTTCATATTTTAAGCTTTATATTCTGCATCTACATTTTGCTCCTCTCATCCTTTCTTCACTCCACAGATTGAACTTCGTGCCTCGACTTCCTTTCCATTCTCTCTTTCCTGTCTTCCATCTCTGACTTGAATTTCCTGACTGCACTCTCATTTCTGTTTTCTAAAAAAAGTTAATTATACATGTCAACTGTAAAATAACTAGTGAATGTTAATTTATTTAATGAATTTGAGTATAATTACTGAAGGTTAAAGGCCGGCCCACATTACCTGAATCCCACTGGCCCACTTTATCTAACACATTCAGCCAAAGTGGGCCAGCAATATTTAAACACCTTACGAGAAAACTAACAATTAAAAAAAAAAATAGTGTTCTTTGCATTATATTCCCTGTTAACTGTAGTAACAAACAAAGCAGGAACTGTCCCAGTAATATTTGTTTCCATTTAGTGAGCAACCTTATAATTTAGAAATGAAAATCTTATGTTGAAGGGTTTTCCTTTAAGGTATGGCCACATCCACCAGTGTCATATTGCATCAACAAAAGCTATTTTATCATTTAGAGAAATAGTGTCCCTTTAATTAAGAACCATTGTTATGCTCTGAAAGTGTAGATCCATTGAGCTCAGTACAATCAAACTTAAATGGCCCACTTTACCTGAATTCACCCCAATACTTTCTATAAAATATTACTCTTCAGAGCGTAATTTGTTAGTTTGTGCTATAGACATGCATGATACCTAAAATCAAGCGCTAAAGATTTTTCATAACACCTTAGTGATGTCTGCTAAACAAACTAACTGTTGCTAATATTTACCATTGAGTATTAATGTTTAGAGTGTAATTTGTTTGTTCATCCTAAGGCCATGAATAATACTTAAAATTAAGCGTTAGTAAAAACCACTCTAAACATGTTAGTGCTGATTACGAAGTACGCTGGCTATTGCTAATACTACAGTTGAGTACTAATCAGAGCATAGGCCTACAGACATGATACCCAAATCAAGCACTAAAACCCACTCAGAACACCTTAGCTGAATTTGCTGAGTAAATGTTTGCTAATACTTTTGCTAATATGTACATTAAGTATTCATTTTTAGAACTAATTTGTTAGTTTGTGCTATGGACATGAATGATACCTAAAATCATGTGCTAAAAACCAGAACATGTTAGCAGAGTTTGCTAAGTAAGCTAACTATTGCTAATATTTACTGTTAAGTATTCATCTTCAGTGAGTAATTTGTATGTTCATGCTACAGGCATGAATACCTTAACTAACACACTAAAAACCATTAATACCTTAGCTAAGTTTGCTAAGTAAGCTAACTATTGGTAATATTTAACATTAGCATTAATTTTCAGAGCGTAATTTGTTTGTTTGTGCTACATGATACCTCAAATCATGCTCTAAAACCCACTATGAACAACTTTTGCTAAGCAATAACTATTAATAATACTTACCATTAGGCCTAAGTACTAATCTTCAGAGCATAATTTGTTAGTTTTGTTACAGCCATGAATAATACCTCAAATTATTTGCTAAAATAACCACTTAGAACTTTTTTTTTGTGCCACTTCCTACCATTGTGGCGGCAAGTTCTGAAAATTTAAAAATCTAATCAATTATGGCAGAATGATAATATTATGAAAGAAAACTGGGATGATTATGCCAAAAATTTTGACTGGTTACCAGCTAGTTAATATTGTTGGTGGTAACTAAAAGGGCTGAAGAAATGGCAGCATTATCTGTGGCTGGTGATCAGCTAAGGTTAACTGCTGAGGTGTATACGCATTAGAACAATGCCTTGACTAATCTTTATGCTTAAATGAGATTATAGATGGAGGAATTATACCGATCCGGTCAGCAATCTCGGTCTTGGTCATGACGTCAGTGTCGGTGTCGTCCAGCAGGGTGAGGTCCTGATTCAGGGACAGGTCCCTCTGCAGCTGACTGTTCTCAGACTCCAGCACGCTCACCTGCCATCTTATAGCATCGCCATGCGATAGTTTTCCAGCTTCTGCAGGAGAAATAAAAATGGATTTGTAAACACATGACCTGCAAATATGGTTCTTTCATGCAATTTTCTGTTTATCTTAACATTGATTTTATTGAGATTAGAGCAATAGATTTTTTAAATCATCAATTATTAATTCATATTGACAACGTTTGAAAGCTTTAATACTCAAGATTCATTAATTAAGGGCAAGAAGCGGTGCTAGGGGTCTGTAATATATATATATATATATATATATATAAATTACATAAATAAATAAAATAATAATAATAAAACAAAACAAGCATTATTTTAAGGCTCTCAAAGGTAAAATGTACACTTAAAATATTAATGATTTTTTTAAAATTTACATTCCCCAGATTTTGCTAATATTTATTATTTTAATGAATAAATTCAATAAAAATTAAATTTTTCCCCCTTAATATTTTAACAATTTAGTACAATGACAATTTAAATCCAGTTATTTAATTTTGGAAACAGTTATTTAATTTTGTTGTCTAATTAAAATGTAATACCTTTCTCGCACAAGAAAATGGTTTAAGCTGGTCTCGCAGCTAAAGAAGTGGTCAAAACTCCTCTAAAGCAACCTGCTAAACCAGCTATGACACCAGCTAAAACTGGTTTTAGCGGGGGTTTTTTCTTCTTTTTTTTGCAGACTCCCTAACACCACTTGTGGCCGTCCCCAGCAGGAGGAGTATAAATGGATTTGTCTACATGAAATATAGCTGCCTTTATATTTTGGTAAGGGTGTTCATCATCGCAAGGTAACCATCATATTTGGGGGTCACCATCAACAAGTTTAAAGATCCTGCATTCGTTTGACCATTATAGACCTCAATCAGATTAGACGCCATACTGAATTTATCGCGGATGAAACCGAGGCTGTGAGGAATAGATTTACAGGTCCTCAAGTAATTCTCACAACTTACAACTTTTAACTAGTATGGATTTTTGTCTACTGAATTTTATTTTTTTATTTTTTGTAAGACATTTTGTCAGCTGAACAATCGGTATGTTGAAACAACAGTGCAATCCGAACGCTCTGTACTTCCGTCCCTCACAGCATCGTTTTCATTCCTGTCAAAAAAAAAA